AAGTCATGGACAGCAACACTGGTTGCAAGGTAGTCGAAACCTCATCTTTTCATCATCGTGTATCCTAGTCTTCACTCATTTGTGACATGCATCCACGGTGCAAAGGAAGTGCACATAGTTCGCGTGGAGACTCTCTAAATTACTCACAAATAGAAGGGTTGAGAGTGATGTTTGTGTTCGGCTTCATCTTGCCTCCGTGTTCCAGAGACAAGCTGTCAACAACTGAAACGACACCACTGTGAACCATCTGACAAGGTTTCGTATCGGGATTCCCTTCGTCGCACCGGCGCAATTTTTAAACAAACTTGATCGCCTTGCTAAGCAAGAATACCGCATTTGTGAAGTTTCGAGACTTTCCATTTGATGTTAGAAAGTATCAGGTGGTGTTGAATGTTTGCATTCCGAGATGAAGGGAGAAGATGGACCAGAGGAAGGAAAGTCCGCGATATCCAGAACAAAACCAGTACCAAAGTGACCGCCTCTCATACGGCAGTTGAAGAGACAAACTCCCACAGCATCAGTGACGGAAAATCCCACCACGACCTTATTATCCTGGTATCACGCAAACTCTGAATGTATGGGTTCCTCTTGCTCACTGCCATCCCTTTTCTTCGGACACTAATTCACCATGAAAGACCAAAACATTTGCATTTTAGGTTCTCAAACTTTCGATTGATATGGACACCATATACATGCCAAACCAACAAAATCGATATCATTCGAACTTTTATTTGGAGAAGACAAATCGATTAAACATGAAGCAGCAAAGTGTTGGACACGATAGAAACAGAGAAGGTTTTTGTACAGAAATTTAGAAACATTAAAGGGTAATCAAACAACAGTCAGCACTGGACAACCTGATAACTTCATTCAATAGCTTTGGCATGGCCTACGAAGGACTCCCATACCTTAAGAGTCTAAACACAGGAAAAGAATTCTACGATGACGTCAAGTTACAAAATAGGCGAAACAATCAAACCGGTTATGCATGTCAAAGCCTAATTGTGCCTTATTGCTTCCAAAGCACAGAAAAGAAACATCCAGCGTTTGATATACGACAACAAATTACGAGGTCGAACAGATGGGCGCACATATCAAGAAGGCAGCATTTGTACGCCGGCGGTCTATCAACGAATCATCGAGTTGGAGCAGATTCATATGGCAGGAGATGCTGCAGCATCATAATACGGTGTCCGCGATAATAATAGAAGGCATTACCCTTTCCCATCCAAGCTATTAATGCACGATACCAGAAAGTGGTCATGCGATATGCATGCACCATAATTTCACAGAATTTTTGGCAACGAAGGAATGCAACAATTATTGGTATGTGAGAACAGAAGCAAACCTTTTCTTGCATTTGAAGCATCATTGTCAGGTAGGAGAGCACTGCTTCTCTAAATTCCTTAAAGCGAGCCTCATCAACACGTTCAAACTCCCTTTTAATTGTCGTTGAAATCTTTTCAAACTCTTCTTCACTCTCCTCTACGCGATGAGCTAGCTGAATAGAGAAAACCAAGTTAACTTTTGGCAATATGTGAAGTGGGAAGAAAATTAAAGCTGGTAATCATGCAGAACAAAATCACTAACTTCACCAATTTCACGTTCAAGTATGGGAATTTTGGCGCGATCTGCCTTGGGGGACATTTCGATGCGCACCTTCTGCTCACGTTTCCCTCGCAGAGCAGACTCGCAATCTCGACGCATCTTACACGCACGAACCCGTTCTGCTAAGGTATCCTAATAGCAAGCATAAGTTGACGAATAATGAAACAGAAGAACAATGCCTGTAATAATAAAGAACCGAGGGTTTCCGAACTTGAACGACAAATAGTATATCACTGACATCAAACACGATTTAAAAACAAAGTGGCACCATGATAACGTACTCTGCAAGCCTGAACGCTAGAAAGCACACCTTTTGCGTACTCAACCAAGAAGGTTGATTGCGCCTCGACCTCAACCGACAAGAAATGAGCCAATTGCTCCTCAGTATCAGCAAGCTGGCCCAATGCTCTAGCCAACCCAGTATGTTCCTCCACATTAGCCAACGCAGAAAGTGCCTTTGATGAGGTTAGAGTAGAAGCCACCAGATCTATGCGAAAACTCCTATTTAGTTTCCGAAAAGGCGTAAACTTACCATTCTGATCTAAGACTAAATTTGAGAAAGCAGCGTAGAGTCGACTGCCTTGTATATCCCAATTTTCCAATTCGTCATCTTTCAAGTCAAAATACTAATGAGAATACACGTTTTAGAACGTTCGTAAAAGACACATAAAAGAACAAAAGAGATAGGAGGTACAAACCTCATCAACTTCATCCATTCTAAAGGTGAGCTTCCCAACAGCTTCACCAACATTCTTTAAAAGTTTCATAGCTGTTGCACCAGAAAGAGGTTGGGCACTGAGATATCGAGGAAGTTCGCTTTCAAGTTCCAAAAATTCATGGACATGATGATCGTTAATTAGAATAGGATGGTTTACAATTCTATGCAAAAAACTACACAGTAAAAGTTATCTAGAGAAGAAAACCATTCCAGAGAAACCCTGCGCTTCTCAATAAAATCAGAATCAGCAGAACTATTCTTTGAAAGACGCATCTTCGTTGTTCCTAGATACATAAGTTCAAGGTAGGGTGAAAATACCAAGCATATTCTTTTCAGGAGGGCAGGGCACAATCAATCCCTGAGGAATGTATTTGACCTTTAACTTCTCATGCAAACCAAGAAAATCCGAAAAACGGCGATGAACACACATATTTGACTTGTGAAAGCAAGGCATATTAGTCTACAGGCAATGGACGACTATGTAAAGCTTACCGCGGTTTTAACAGTGTAGATAACATATGATGACATTCCCTCACCCACTTTCTCCGGATTAAGAACTTTAACTGAGATAACGTTTGATTCTGTGCCAAAGGGTTGCGATTCCGAGGGCTAAAGCTGGACTCGGCGTAAAGTACTCCCCATACCGTCACAGTATCTGATATCTCTGGGACTGATTGGCCATGTTTACCTTAACTACTATAATTTATGAAAAATATAGCTACAGGAAAAAGGATCCAGGATGTCCGCATATGATTCCTAAGAAAAATGAATGAGAAAAGGTAACCAAAAACCAAATCATCCTCCGGGACCATCATCATATTCAAATTTGTCCACACCCTGGCAATGTGATTCAAAGCAAGTTGGAACCTCACTTTATTTAAATGCAAACACAACAACTACTATAACTATCACCAATCTCCGAGTTCCTGTAAAAAAGAAGATTATTAAAAATTGTAATCAAACATGTTAAACATATTAATCAGAAACTGCTAATAACGTTTTAGAAAGATTTAAAAACCACAACGTATAAATTATGGAAAATGCTAAAGGTTAGTCACCTGTCAGGTTTAGCGAAAGCCGCACAGGCAGGCTTGGTGCATGAACAAGGTGATCTAACTCCAGAGCATGGTACTAAAACCGACCCTATCCCTATTTCTGAGAATACCATTATATGTTTTGTGAGCAGCATAACTGACTTCACACGTTCCAAAATTTATCTTAAATTTCTCTCGACTCAGCTTAATCATCGTGTAGAGGGGAGTTAAGAATGTTAGAAATACCTGCCTAACCACCTACCCTGAACCTCGGACTTAAGAAAGGGTCGGTAGCAAATGATTTATTTGGCAAATGTTACAGGAAGAATGGGGAATGGGATAAAGAAAAGCCGAATAGTAGACATCAACTAGAGAAATGTACCCCACCGTCTTCGCGCATGCGACTAGCGTTACCAATTGATTCCTACTTCTCTCCTATAAAATTCCAATTTAACAAAATAGTATATATTACAAAGGAGTTTGACAGGCGACTAACTTTTGGCAGTGTAGCGGCCCATGACTCCCCA